TCGTAGTTTGGCTAAAGTAACATGAGTTTGTGGCCGTACCCTAAATTGTTTATTAATATTATTATCATTATTATTATTGTTCTGGTTGTTGCTGCTATTACCATTACAATCATCATCATTATTATCATTATCATCATTATTATTATCATTATCATCATCACTATTATCATTATTATTATCATTATCATCATCACTATCATTATTATTATTATCATCATTATTATTATCATTACCATAATTATTATCATTATCATCATTATTATTATCATTATCATCATCACTATCACCATTACTATTATCACCTCCCAACCCTGCCTCCGCAGCTCCGACGGTCGCGCGGCCGGAGCGACGGCAGCCTGGGCGGCGGCAGCGGCGGCGGCAGCGGCAGCGGCGACAGCTCGGGCTCGCCGACGCCGCGACACCGCCAGTTCGTGATGCACAACAAGGCGCCGCTCTGGAACGAGAACTCGCAGGTGTACCAGCTCGACTTCGGCGGGAGAGTCACGCAGGAGTCGGCCAAGAATTTCCAGATCGAGTTTAAGGGCAAGCAGGTACGTTGGGGGGGAAGGACTTTGGGGATGGAGGGGGGAGGGGGGGAGGACTTTGGGGTGGAGGGGGGAGGGGAGGACTTTAGGGGAGGAGGGGGGAGGAGTATACTTTGGGGTGGTGGGGAGGGAGGACTTTGGGGTGGAATGGGTGGATGGGGGAGGGGGAGGGAAAGTGGATGGGGTGGAGGGGGGGAGGGGAGTTTGGGGTGGAGGGGGTGGAGGGGGGAGGGGGAGGGGGAGGGAAAGTGGATGGGGTGGGTATGGGGAAGGGTATTTAGGGGGTGGGAGGATAGGTGGGGATGTTTGTAGGGGGAGATGGAGTTAGAGGGGAGTAGGGGGTAGAGTGGGTAGTGGGTGAGGGGTTGTAAGGGCGGTGGAGTGGGTGTGGGGGAGGATGAGTGGGTGTGGGGAAGTGTGGGAGAAGGAAGAAGACGGATATATATAAGAGGGTTAATGGGGGTGGAAAGGAGAAGAGGAGAGGGAGGAGGAAAAAGAGAGAGGCAGAAGGAGGAAATTAGAAGAGAATAAGAGGAGAAAGAAGACGTGATGGAGGTGGAGAGGGAGGTATGAAGAGGAAGAGGAGGGAGAATGAAAAGAGGAAGAGAGGAAATGAAAAGAGGAGGAGGAGAAGGAATGATAATAAGAGGAGGAGAGGGAATGAACAAAGGAGGAGGAGAGGGAATGAAAAGAGGAGGAGAGGGAATAAGGAAAGGAGGAGGAGAGGGAATATGAAGAAGAGGAGGAAAATTAATAAAAAAGGAGGAGGAGAGGGAATAAGAAGAGGAGGAGGAGGAGAAGGAATAAAGAGAGGAGGAGGAGAGGGAGATCTTCTGCCTTGCTCGTCATGTATTAAGGGTGAAAGAGAAGGAAGAGAAAATGGGTGAGTGAATAATAAGAAAAAGATAGAATACCCGCTAGAGAGGAAGAGGAGGGAATAAAAGGAAGATAGATAGGTGTTTGGAGGGAAACATTAAGGAGGAGAGAAGGGGAAGGAGAAGGAAAGGGAATAATTGTCATCTCCAGCCTGTCATCAGTCATCACCAAATTGTCATCATTTCAAGGCATTTCCAAAAGTAAGCTACACCCAGTTCTTACCAGTTACATAACCAGACCCTATCAGTTTCATAACTCCATGTGATTTGAATTGCAGAATTACAACACTCGATTCCACTCAGTTGCAACGTTGAATAATCCCAGCTCACATCAACTGCAATATTTAGCAATGTCACTTTATACCAGTTGTAAGAGTAAGCAATACGAGTTCATACCAAATCATACCAATTATGAAATTAGGTCATTCCATTTCGTATCAGTTCAAAATCCAACATCATAATCAGGTTCATTCCTTAATTTGAACTACCACTGTTCTACTTAAACTGTCTTCCTCTGTGACCACTTAAACTTAAACTTTCTACCTCCGTACCTCCTCTTAAACTCTCTCATAATGCTCCACTTAAATATTCCGTCACTACCTCATTTAAATGTACTGTCACTGCCCTCTTTTAAACTTTTTTTTTTTTATCACTGTCCTATTTGAACTTACTGCCCTGTCTTACCTGAACTTCTTAGCGTGGGTCTCTTAAACTTCCTAACACTTTCCTAGTTCGACTCTTCATTTTCCTACCCACCTCTTCCGCCCATACCCTCATACCCCCTCCCCACCCACCCCTAATCCCACCTAACCTCTCTTCCCCCCATGCCCTCACACCCCCTCTCCACACACACCCCCTAACCCCACTTAAACCTCTCTTTTCTCCCTCCTAACCCCACCTACCCTCTCTTTCCCCCATACCCTCATACCCCCCTCTCCCAACTCCACTTCAGAGCCTCATACCCCTTAACCCCACCTAACCTCCCCCCAAACCCCCCATACCCTCACACCCCCACCTAACCCCACTAAAACCCCTCTTTCCTCCCCCAGGTGATGCAGTTCGGGCGCATCGATGGGAACGCCTACACGCTCGATTTCCAGTACCCGTTCAGCGCGGTGCAGGCCTTCGCTGTGGCCTTGGCTAATGTCACGCAGAGGCTCAAATGATACAGGATGTACCCGGAGAGCCAGGTGAGGTTGGAGGGGGGGAGGGGTAGGGGAGGTGGAGAAGGAGGTGGAGGGGGAGGTGGAGGTGAGGATTGAGGTCGGTGTAAAGGTGGAGAAGGAGGTGGAGGTTGAGATGGAGGTGTAAGTGGAGATGAGGCTGAGGTGGAGGTGGAGATGGAGGTGAGAGTGAGGGCAAAGGTGGAGGTGAAAGTGTGGGTGAAAGTGGATCTGAAGATGGAGGTAAGAGTAACGGTGGAAGCGGAAGTGAAAGTGGAGATGAGAGTGGAGGCGAAGGGTGATGTGGAAGTGGAGGTGAAGTTGAAAGTGGAGGCGCAGACGACCGTTAGGCAGCAGCGGCGTAGCTAGTTGGAGAAAAAAGAAAATCAAATTCGGTGTTGCCATTGTAACGAAGTCTGTAAGCATGTACAAAAATAGATAGATAAATAGAAAAAAAATGTATATATGTATGTATTTTCATTCCACATTCAAAATTTCCATTTCACCTTAGCGTAAAAGAGAAACCACTTCCAATAAAATCTCCACATCCCCCCCCTCACTCTCTCCATTCTTCCCAACTACTCGTACCTTTAGTATTATTATTATTATTATTATTTTTTTTTTAACGAATATTGCTTTATACACATACTAACCCCCCCTGTCTCTCCCCAGGCCGCTCACAGCCACAGCGTTGTCATCCTGGAGTTCTGGTGACGTCAGCTGCTGATCCTTTTCACCGTGAACTACTGGGTCATTCTATGTTCCGATTGTGAAAACGTTGTTGTTATCAAAGCGATCTGTTCTGTTTAGTATTGCTACTAATGTTACTACACAAGCAGAGAATTAGAAGAAGATAGATTTTTTTTTCTTATTCTTCTTCGAAAGAGAAGAGAGAGAGAAGAAGAAAATAGTGGTTTTGAAGTTATGTGAAGTTATGTGTTTTTTTTTTTTTTTTTTTTTTTTTTTTTTTTTTGAGTGGTATGTTTATGTCTAGAAGAGGACTTTATAGAGTCAAGATTTTTTTTGTGCTGGCATTCTCTGACTCTTTGCACATGTTGTTAAGTCAGATTATTGCCAGAGGTATGATAATGCTCACTACTGTACCATTTGGGTAACGTGTGTAAACGGTGTTGCATTTTTTTTTTTTTTTTTTTTTTTAAGATGAAGAGGTAATTTTAAAAATGGGAAAGACACACTGCAGACAATATTGTATGTGATATTATTACTGCTTTAATCTCTTAAGATGTGTTGTATAAGTACAGTTTTCACCATAGTTTTTAAGCCCGTAGCCTTTCGTTGCATCGCTCGCGCATGTAACGAAGAGTCATCCGGTGACGATTTTCTGCACTTAATTTCCCTTATTTCGATTTCGTTAATTTCTTGGGAAATATCGTCTTTTGTATCAAGTCAAAGAACAATACGAAGAAGCCGAATTCATATGACATTAGGAGTATGTGTATGTATGTGTAAATGTATATATATAAATGTATATATATAAATGTATATATATAAATGTATATATATATATATATATATATATATATATATATATATATATATATATATATATATATATATATGAACATAGACTCGCATATATACACATACATAGCGTCAAGACAGGAAAATGAATAACTTTATCAAGTGCGTCGTCAAAACTATTTTGGGCAATCCCGAAATATATAATAAAAAAAAACATGTTGAATTAACCATTCTAGTCATCTAAACTAGTTGCTCTTAAATATATCTAGAACTTAGACATGCTGACTCCCAAGCCCGACCTCTCTCTCTCACACACACCATGCGTCCTCTCCTTTATCCTTCCCTCTCTTCACCCTCTCTCTCTCTCTCTCTCTCTCTCTCTCTCTCTCTCTCTCTCTCTCTCTCTCTCTCTCTCTCTCTCTCTCTCTCTCTCTCTCTCTCTCTATGTTCTTCTTTCTATGTCTTATCTCTCCCTGATCTTCTCTCGCTTCTTACCTCATTTCTTCTATTCCCTTCCTTGCCTCTCTTATATCCTTCTCTCCCTTCCTTACCTCTCTCCTTTACCTCTTACATTTTTCTCCTTCCCTTCATTCCCTCCTCTTCCTTCCTTACCCTCCTTCCTATTTCCTCTAATTCCTACTCTCGTTTCTATCCCTCCCTCCTCCTTTTATTCCCTCCCTTCCTTCCTCCCAACTTTTTATTCCCTCCCTGTCCTCCCTTTCCTCCTTTCCCTCCCTCCCTGCCCTCTCTTCCTTCCTTCCCTCCTTTTTCCTCTCTCCCTTCCCTACCTGTCTCCTTTCCCTCCCTTCCTTCCCTCCTTTCCCTCTCTTCCTTCTCTCCTTTCCCTCTCTTCCTTCCCTCCTTTCCCTCTCTTCCTTCCCTCCTTTCCCTCTCTTCCTTCCCTCCTTTCCCTCTCTTCCTTCCCTCCTTTCCCTCCTTTCCTTCCCTCCTTTCCCTCCCTCCCTGCTAGCTGCTACTCCGTTCATTCTGTGCCTGAAATATCTATATATACGAATTCTCAATAGAGGAAAGCTTCATTGGTCGTTGATTTGCTTTGTAACGAGCCAGTTGTGACGGTCTGGTTAGTCCATTGAAAACCATTTTATGAAGTTATCATTTTTTTTTTGTTTGTTTGTTTTTGTTTTGTTTGTGAGGTAATTTTAGGTGATGTGGGTGCCTGTTTTTACTTTTTTTGTGGTAGTATATTTCTTGTTTGTCTACTTATTTATTTATTTGTCGTTGTGGTTGTTCTCGTGTTGAGTCAGGATTTTTTAAAATCTATTTTCTTTTTACTTGTTTAATATTATTCATTTATTTTATTTTATTTGTCATTATGTTTTGTTTGAATTATTTCAATTGAAAAGATATAAACATAACAGAGAACAAACAAACAAAATTTTTTCCTTATTTTTTATTTCATTTCATTAATTGTCATTATTATTTTTTTAATCACGTCAATTTAGATATCATTAACTTGATTACATTTCCACCTAGAAACTTGTTATTTTTTAAATTGTTATGTTTGTTCTTCACTCATTTTTTGTTCTTTGTTACAACATTCCATTATTTCCTTAACATATGGATTTTCATCCTGTGTTTTGGAATTTGTTATATGCATTTACTTAATATTTTTGTATTACAAATTTAAGTCTGTTTTCAGTTAAGCTCCTTATTAGTGACTGAGTGTGTGTGTGTGTGAGAGAGAGAGAGAGAGAGAGAGAGAGAGAGAGAGAGAGGGAGAGAGAGAGAGAGAGAGAGAGAGAGAGAGAGAGAGAGAGAGAGAGAGAGAGAGAGAGAGAGAGAGAGAGGTAGAGAGAGAGAGAGAGAGAGAGAGAGAGAGAGAGAGAGAGGGAGAGAGAGAGAGAGAGAGAGAGAGAGAGAGAGAGAGAGAGAGAGAGAGAGAGAGAGGTAGAGAGAGAGAGAGAGAGAGAGTGAGAGAGAGAGAGAGAGAGAGAGAGAGAGAGAGAGAGAGAGAGAGAGAGAGAGAGAGAGAGAGAGAGAGAGAGAGAGAGAGATCATCTTAATATATATTCTCTTTACTTGGTTGTGATACTTCATATTAATACCTTGAGTCATGCTGCATGAGATCGTTACAGTAGAATAGATATGAGTTTATGAATTTTAAATCAATTTATTGTACAACCAATACAAAAAAACATTTAAGAACACAACTTTAGTTAATTTACTTTTTTTTACGATATTTAGTGAATGGAGTATGAAATTCTTTTATACAGAACTAACTGACAACAGACAAGAGATCAGTCTGCTTTTTTGAGCTTGTCTGTTTGTTATAATTTTAATTCTTTTTTCTTAATGACATTTGTAACAACAGTCCATCCTGCTCTGTGTACAGCTATTTTGTACATCGTGTTTAGGCGGTAGAAAGATTATTTTGTACATAAGAATGCAGTAGAATGTACAGAATAATGACCATATTGTCTTACCTAAGCCCAAAAAAAAAAAAGAGAGAGAAACATTGTGTGCCATTTTTTCTTTTCTTTCTTTCATTGAATTCTTCTTTCATGACGAATTTATGAGACAAAAAAAGAAACATAGTGTTCGCAGACGTTAGGATTGATTTGGATTCTTTTTCGGGCACATAGAATCGTGTTCTTCTGGGTTTTAAAGAACTCTTAGGTTCGCCCATGTTCTTGTATAAGATCAAGTAAAAGTTATTAGTATAAGTGAACTTCGTAGAGCAGCTTCGACAGTGGAATGAGAAAGTGCATGGATTCGAGTTATATATATATATATATATATATATATATATATATATATATATATATATATATATATATATATGTAGATATATATATGTAGATATATATATATATATACATATATACATATACACACATATATACATATATATATAAGTATGTACATTGTACGAATGAACTGAAATGTCCTTAGCACATAAGGCGACACTTTTTTAGAATTTGCTTCAGACAATCGACCCCATGATTTTGACAAACGTTTAACAGAGAGAGAGAGAAGTAAAACAAAACATCTTTACAATTTGTTGAAGTGTTATTATTGTTCAGTTTCCCATGAGTGAGTTAAACATTGTAGCGTGCTTCCTTGAATTATTTTGTTGAAGTCAGTATCTTGACTTTGTATTAAGTTTTATTCTGAAACTCTTCTGAAAGATTTTTCTCTTGTGTCAAACATTGTAAGGGAATACTATGAACTAATTAAAAAGGGGGCTGTTGACTAATGGTTTATCCGGGAGAATCTTTAATGGGAATTTAGAATAGGTGGACCAGGGTGGCAGTGGGAGAAAAGGAAATGGAAAGACAATGAGAAAAGGAAGTATAAGAAAAAAGAAAGAAGGAGGAAGGAAAAGGAGGAGGAAAGGATAAAGAAATAGAGAAAAGGAGAACGATGAGAGAGAAAGAGAAAGGGAGAGGGAGAACAGGTGTTTGGCACTGCGCACAAGACAAGGGGAATATAAGTGACTCTCTCACTGCAGTTTTCATTTTTATTTTGTAGGTGAGAAGACCTAAACGTGGCCATTAATATGCGTTTTAAGAAAAAAAAAAAATTACCTTGATTCTCACTATCCAAATATTTAATAGATATCATGAGACCTTATTTTTTCTTATTAGAATTCTGACCTTCTGGTAAAAATAGGAAAGCCTTAGGATAGTTAGGTTATAGAATCCAAGTGCTGTTTAGCAGGAAAAAAGGAAAATGGTTAGGATATACAATTCAGGTCAGATTGCTATGAATTCTGAAGTGATGTAATATATGAATCATAAAGACTTTAAAAAGAAAAAAAGAGAGGAAAGATATATGATAGCTTTGGGAAACTGCTCTGGTCCTGAGTACTAGGTTGTGGCATAGCATATTATGAAGGTCTTTGCTGAAAGAAATCATTGAAGGTGAAACAAAAAAGAGGTGCATATTGATAGAGGATTATGGTGTAATCCAGCAATTAATCTAGTCAGTTATTTACAATTACTCTTGTTACTTTGTTTATCATCAGTGTTTTCTTGTTCCTTTTCATTTTACATCAGATTTGATGCACATGTATGGGTACCTCTGATATTTAACTTTTTAGCTTTTCAATTATCTAGGAGGGGTGGGGGTAAATGTCATTAAAATCATTATTTGATCACATGCACACTCACATGCACGCGCACGCTCACACGCACATGCATGCGAATACTCACACTCACATACTTACATACTCACATACTCACATACTCACATACTCACACACTCACACACTCACACACACACACACACACACACTCACATACACACACACACACACACACACACACACACACACACACACACACACACACACACATGTATATTTTCAAGGTACACATATGTATATTCTTCATAGATATGAATGATATACCTATGAATGCTGTAAGACAG